CTAACCCTACACTTTTCAGGGTTTGATTTTGGTTTTGGAACAGGAAAGAAACATATATCTCCTTCCAACCTCTCCAGGTATCGTCAAGTATCATTAATACACGACGTGCCCCAGGCACAACATTTAGCTCCAAATCCACAAAACCAGCTTGAAAATGAAGGAAATCGGAAACAATTGCATTACAGTCAATGGAGCACGGGTGTGTTGTTGTCGGACCCTGGTCTGAGCCGGCCCAATGCTACGTTATGATTGGCCAGTCTACGTCCAGGGGTGGGACTTAGCGAAGGGTCAGTTGGGTTGATGTCTGAATAACAACTCTTGTTTTGTCAGCCTGCATCTCTTGTGAGTAGAAGGACATAAAATAAGCTCTCACCAATTTGACAGCCTCCATTCCACATCTCCTGAGGGTTGTAGTTGGAGGACTGGAGGCGCTGGCCTGAGGGGTAAATCCTGCTGAGCTGGTGGCTGTTGTGACGAACAAAATACATCCCTGGAGGGGACGGACAAGAAAAGTCCAATTAGTCTCGTAAGCTGAAGCAAGGCTCATTTTGCTTTTGTGCTGCCTGAACAAAATAGACTCAACAGCTAACTGTCAGTATACAACCAAATCTAAATGATCTGTGGGCAGCATGCAAACCTTTACTTTTAGAAAGTATGTTTAGTCACATGCACACATCATACCTGAGTCCTTAATGAGCCTGAGTGCTTCACTCTCGGAGAAAGAGGACAGGTCAGTTGCCGGGTGTTTGGCTGCTTGTTCAAAGCTTTTAAAGGGAACACTGCGGGTGTACACCACCAGCTCGGACAGCTCTGGACTCAGTTTAGACACACCTGGCTAAAAGGCACACACAAAAACCCATCACATCACACCAGCAATCAGTAAAAGCCACGGCTGCTAGGATAAAGGTGAGCTGCTAGTGTTGTACCCACCACCTTCTTGTCCTCTTTCTTTCTGCAGGATCTGCTGTCAGTGCAGCTGGCCTCCTCGTCTGAGGAGCTGAGATCTGAAGAGCTGGATGAGCACTCCACCACGCGCTCCCTCTTCCCCTTCACCAGGATTTTACCCTTAAGATCCTGCACAAACAACCAGCACATTACAAACACTATACATGTACCATACAAACTTTGTTGAAGATGATACTAATAGTTAAACTATTTTTTATGATAAAAATACTCAGACTTCATTACTGCCAGGGATGGGTTTACACTGGAGTTAGAAGAAAGCCCGGAAAGAGTGCCTTATGTGTCAGAATCAGATGCTGATGGCCACTGACCAAGCTGTCATATTTGACACCCTCGGAATGAGAATGGGCGGACGAAGCACTATGGTAAAGCACAAGTAACTGTCCCTGCAAGTACCTGGCTCCAGGCATGGTTACCCTAACCTCTTAACCCTCTACCAAGCACTGTGCTCACATTTAAGAAGTAATAACCAATCCCAGAGAAACAGCACCAGGCTTTGAGCGAATTCTACCAGACTGTGGAATTACAACTTCAGGGTCTATTATGTGATGCCATATGGCCCAAAAAGACTTTTTTTTTTCATAGACTTACATAAGAGACATTTGTAGATCAGTGGATAAATTCTGTTGAGCGACACAACCCCCACAAAATAACTTCACTATCAGGATTTCACAATCGGGATTTGTTTCATCATTTTATCCCCATTCAAGCTAGGGCTAAACCTGAAGTTAGGCGCTTGACCAGTCTTCAGTGTGCCTGCTTTTTGGGCATGAGATCAAATCAAACTTTTTTGGCTTCATGCACCTGTAAGCATCTTTTATAGGAAAAAACAGGGCTCTGCCTCCAATGTTGTATCCAGTTCTCTTTATACATCCACAATTATAATTCTTACTCTAAAGCCCTGTTTCCACCAAGCAGTCCAGTTCAGTTCAGTTCGGTATACATTTTTTGACCAATGGAACTGATCCTTACTGTCTCCAGTTTTGGTCACCCCTTTGTTGGGGTACCTAGCACACAGACCCAATACTAAAAGGTGGAGCTAGAAACACTGCAGTCTGTTGATTAGTCAATAGTGGGTAGTCACTCTTGCTCAGGGCTGAGTTGAAGCTGGTTTTGGAGCTTATGTAACCACTGTTCATACCGACTGCCGGCAACTTTTAAGGTGGAACATTTATTTGTAATGTTATTAAATGCATTAGTTGACAATGTGAATCCGTCAGCACACCTTAAATTTCAATATGACAACTTTGACCGTCCATTAGTTTTTATTGTCTGTCTTTGATGACACTTTTTACACTACGAGTCACGTTCACCCAATCACACACACATTCATACACTGGTGGCCGAGGTTACCATACAAGGTGCCACCTGCTACTCAGTTTTAACACATTCACATACTGATGGAACAGCCATCAGGAGCAATTTGGGGTTCAGTATCTTGCTCAAGGATACTTCGACATGCAGCCTGGAGGAGCCCGGGATCAAACCGCTGATCTTTCGATTGGTAGACGACCCGCTCTACCTCTGAGCCACAGCCGTCAACTGTCTAAAGGGTTACTTTTGGTTCCAAAGGTACCGTACCAAAAGTGTTCAGCAGAAACAGGGCTTAAGATACTGTCCTTTGCGAGGAGTAACCCTAGTCCTAACCCTTAAGGTCTGTGCTTTACTTCAGATCCAGCCACTCCCTCCTGCCCTGCAGTTTCCAGCCTTTTCCACCACCTACCCTGCCCACATACTCACCTACGTCCCATTCCCTAATCAGCCTGGCAGTATATTTACCAGCCCATGTCCAGCTACACTTTGCCAGATTGTCATTGTTTCTTATGCCTTAGCTTCATAGTCCTCTGACCCCTAGCCTGTACCTGAACTTGATCTGTTCTCTGTTTTGACACATTGCCTGTTTCTGACCTGCTCACCTGTCATACCCCTCTTGGATTGGTTTGTTCAGACAAACCCTTGTGCCTCACATTCACACCCATGACACTTTGATCATGATTGCTACTAATATAATAATGTATGACAACAGTGAGTGTAAAATCCCCAACTCTGCAAATAATAAAATCACCTGAGTGTAATAAAAGGCACCCACATGACAGTGGTCAGAAGGCAACACTATTGTGAAGGCGCCTCAAGGGAGTGTGAATACTGGGGCACAGATCATGAGTGCACACACTAACCGTTCCACACATTATGATTACGAGGAAATGAAGAATAAGTGGGACACAGAGGAGCAGATGGCCCCAGATTTCCCATCTTACACAAACAGTTGTTCTCTCCTTTAATCCTAACAGTTGCTACCAAGACAGAGAAAGTGTTTACAAATCCTGCACAGACATAAATACAGAGAAATAAAAGTCTTGCCATCCAGTTGGAGAGAGTTTAGATATTAAAAAGTGTGCCGGAGTGAAGACCTTGCATAGGAATCTGACTGAGTCACTGGCTATTTTTAACCACATCCACATTCCACTGAAAAGTAGCAACTGCACTCCAAATATCTATCTGGACAAATCATTTAATTGTGTCAGGCAACTGCAAAGCCTGCCACAGTGTGGTTCCAGTGCATGCCCGCATGATCTGTGTCTCAATGAAAGATGTGATTAGTTTCACTAAATATAGTAGCTCTTATAGGGACTGATCTTTATCAGAATACGGAAAAATGTTTCCTTGCCTCTGGAGAAGGCAGGGTGTTAGGATCAAAATCATCAAGGGGCTTGGTGAGCAGTTTGTCTCCCAGGATGGATCGCAGGTTTTGAGCCATCACTGTCTGCTGCTCCACGGAGCAGTGGTTCTCCAGGGACAGGATCAGAGGATAAGGAGATGCCTGCCAGAGAGGGATGATAGTGCACACACAGGAAAAAAAAAGATTTATTCTAAAGAGCAGAAAAAGGGAAGTCTGCATAAGTATATCATCTCTGTCCACACAAATTGATTAAAATAATTTAGAAACTAAACTTATAATTTTCATCTGTAGTGTATATCTCTGCATGATTGTGACAAAGGCAAATATTGTACGCCTTTATTTTTTTCCAGGTGACAAAAATGATTCTGATTCTGGTAAAATACTCACTTTGAAAGCGTAGTCGTTAATAGTCTCAATGACTTCGACAAAGGGCACTTTGGAGGTGAGTGTGTGTCCATGATAGATGACCGGCTCTCCTTTATCTCCATCCCAACAGTCCAGCTCCACACAGCGGCAGCCATGATTCAGGGCTCTGAGAGAAATATCATCATTAGGAATCTCTGCGCCAGATGTCTGAGTGAGTAAAGGTGTAATTTAAGAGTTTGTAACTATTCTGTACGCTTTATCTCCTTCTGTTGGCAACTTGTACAGATTGCAATGACATCCAAAGACTAGCTGTACTCCTGTCTATGGCATGCATCCCTGTCAAAATGTATCAAGGCCTAACTGGCATCTTTTGAATATTTTATGATGGATATTTTAGAAGATGTTCTTTCATTGTAGTTTTATATTGGATTGAACTTGTTCCTGTGCACCATGAACTCCATCTTTGGGATATAGACTGACTTCTATCATCTTCGTAGTATTTCTGTCTCATGTCACTCCCTTTGTACCCCCCTGGAAAGGCGTATCTCACAGTTTGAAAACCTGTGCTCTAAAAGTTTCCAGGGGGCATCCTTACTAGATACCAGAACCATCTTAGCTGACTTCTTGCAATGCAAAGAAGAGGTGGTTGTGTTCTGAGCCCCCTTTAGATGCACAAGCATTGTCATGAAAAAAAATCTCTGTACACATGAGCATTTAAGCACCATTTTTGTCCATACTTACAAGCCTGAAAACACATATCACATGACCATTCATGTACACTGGGCGCATACTGATATCAACAGGAAGCAGATTGTCTACTCTACTGTTAGTTGCTCATTTACAGAAAATACTATGTAGATGGCGAAAAGTAAGACCACAGATTTATTTAATGACAAGGTGATGCTGTAGCTGAAAATAATACATGAGAATAAGGCATTCAAGTGGCGGAAAACAGATTGGGAGTCTTTGCAAAGCAAATACGGTGACATATCAGAGCAATACTGTGAGCATTATCCATCGCCAGAGGAAGCCATAGCAATGGGAAAGGAGTACCCACACAGGAAGGCTAAAATCACAAAAGGTATGTAGACCTAGCTATAATGTTTGACTTGACACGTTGTGACTGATAAGGCCCAAATCGGGAAGAACGTGGGTGTCTGCATTATCATTTCCAAAAGCCTATCTTTACATCTGTCCAGAGTAAAACCCAACTTTGATGTTTTCCAACTAAAATGTGGGTTAGTAGTGTTTTCAAAGGTCCTATTATCCTATTAGATTATTATTATATTATTATCCTATTAAACATGCTTTGTGAGGTCACAGTGACCTTTGAACACTGACCACCAAAATAAGATCAGTTCATCCTTGAGTCCAACTGAACCTTTGTGTAAAAGTTCTCTCAAGGTGTTCTTGAGATATTCCATTTACAAGAATGAGACGGACGGGGTCACAGTGACCTTGACCTTTGACCACCAAAATCTTATCAGTTTATCAGTGAGTTCAACTGGACGTTTGTGCCAAATTTGATGAGACCCCCTCAAGGTGTTCTTAAGATATCGTAATCAGGAAAATGGGACTTACATACAACCCAAAAACATAATGCCTCTAGCAACCCCTGTCACCAGCACTGAGGCATAAAAACATATAGTGACCATAGTGTGCACATTGTTTTACTTTTCACAGGAGTGTTAACTACTCTTATGTGACATACCTCCCCTGTAACATATTGCTAGACTGCACTTGTCTGTGATGGTAAAAATAATAATGATGTGACTGAGTCTGCATACATATCAATTGCATCCTATAAAATCAAACAAAACAAGGATGACTGAGCTATCTGGTTTGTTTTAGCTGCTGATAAATTAGCTTTACCTAGCAAATTACAAAGCAAAACATAGCACATTGGCATGTTTATTCAGAAAATGTTTCAAAGGGCTTATATACATGTATTGTATTGTATGTGTGGGGTGCTGTTCCTTCTTACCGAATGTACGGCTCTGTGCTGCTGCTCCCAGTCAGCTGGTCCTTAGTGAGGTAGGTGTTGTGGGACGAGGAGATGAAGTAGTGGGCCAGTGGGTGATTCATGTCTTGGTAAACCCTTGCATGGTCCGGGTTAAACACACAGTTCTCCTTAGACAGCATGTACATGGTAAAGCCATTGGGGGTCATGAACTGGTTCTTCTGGGCTGTACTAGGCAAAAGCACCAACACACGTCAATAAAGGAGGAGAATTATTTTATAGCGAGTAAACTGGTAGTCATAGTGTAGTTTGTAAAATACCATTCATTTTTAACAGTTTAAGCTCTATGATGTGTTTTTGGGACATACAGTGTAAAGCTGATATGATAGCATGTTTATAAATAAAAAAGATATAAAGCATGTTTTTTCTTATTTTTGGAGGCAGTCATCCCTATCGTGCCTGCAACTAGTTAAAAATGCAGCAGTGAGTATCCGTGGCCTGGAAGAATTGATTTTAAGATTCTTTTAATTGTTTCTAACTCACTGCTTAGACGGGCACCAGCTTACATCTCTGATCACCTGAAGACCCACAAACATCAAACCAACACCAAATTCTATTGGCAAGGAAGGATGACTGTTGCAACGCTTCACGTCACCTGTGTCTTGTCCAAAAAGTTGTACATGAACACACCAGAAAGACAGACATTACTAACACGTATGTTCAGTGCCTACGTGAGAGGAAATAACTCTCCATACTAGCAGGCAGCAGCGATTTGTATTTGTTATTCAAAAAGGGAAACTGGAAGCCAGTGAGCACTAATTCAAGACATTAATAACGCAATCTGATGTTGAATGCACAAAAGATATTTGCTGTTTCTGCTGGGGAAACAGATGTCACTGACATTAACTGACGACCAGCTGTTGGCTTGATGCGTCAGGGCTTTTAGTCCCTATGCTATGGCCAGACTCCTCAGATCCTCTACATCAAATTCTAAAGGTGTCCAAACTGTTTTTCATTGTTGACTGTGATACAATTTACCTCTCACTGTCAGTTTGTCCCCATCTAATCCCATCCTTTCCAACTCATTTGAAATTGATTTTTTGGCAAGCTGATTTGGTTATTGTGAGAGCCCAATATTCACTCTCCTTTTAGCTCTATTTTGGTCCTCACCAAATCCTGAGAAAAGCTGAACAGCTGCTGGATGCTCTGTGTGTAACATCTAGTCACTAACTTTGCTGGTCTCCCATTTGGTGCTGGGCAGGTAGCGAAGGGTCTAATGGGTTTATCAGAACCATTTTGCTGAACACACACCAAATAAATGTTGGTACTTTGCAAAATATTGTTACTTAGCACCGTACCCCACTCATTAAGTTCATAGGTGAGGATGAGGCTTTGGGCATGGATGAGTGAAGCATCCTCCCCCTGGTCCTTCAAGAAATCCCTCAGGTCCACAGTGGAAAGTACACAGCCGTTTGCAGAGTAGCGGATAAACACAGCATCCAGCTCTGGTCTCCGTAACAACTCCCTGCAGAACACTTCAATCTCCCCGTGGTCCAGACGGCCGTCGGCAGACTGGTCACATTTCTATCAGAGAAATAGAGTAAAATGCAGATGATCACTCTTTGTTTAGTTTTTCAGGCTGTTCTTTAATTATCCAAGTGACACACTGTCATTGGAGGTCTGTCGTTAGTTATGTCAAATGAGTTTATAAATCATTTTGAATTACTGATGGAAATCCCAGACATGGGGCCAGTGTTTTTAAGTATGTATGGGTGTGCTACCTGAAAGAGGCTCCTGGCATACTGGTCACTCAGGTCAATGTTGATCATCTGCAGCAGTGTCTGGACTTCGTCATAGCTCATCTTATCATCATGGTTCTGGTCAGCCCGACTCAGGTAAGCATGAATCCAGGTGACACACAAACATAGTCAAGGAAGCAGCAAGAGCAGAAATGTACAGTTTTTGGTGGTGTTTGATCAATATGGAGTTTGAAGAACAGAAGTAATAATTATACTAATTCTGCCTATGGATATTTTGTGTTGGTGTCCTGGTTTTTTTTAAAACATTTCCTTCAAAAAACATGAATTACCGCCTAATGGTTGTACGTTTAGAGTTACATCCATGTCTGTGAAAACATGGATGTTTCACACACATCTTCCCCCCAGCAGCTAAGAGGATCTATACAATCAGCACGGTTTCAAGGTGGACACCCAAGATTAGTGTCACCAATTCAGTGTATTTTTGAATACACAGTATAATGTCATTCTTTTGTCCTATTAGACATTTGAGTGAAATGTCATAATTAGCGCATTAATTCTTGAGTTATGGCTCAAAGTATGTTTTGTGAGATCACAGTGATCTATTCTTATCAGTTCGTTCTTGAGTCCAAGTTGACGTTTGTGCCAAATTTGAGGAAACTCCCTCAAAGCCTTCTTGAGATATCGCATTGAAAAGAATGAGACAGAGGAGCTCTTCTGTGTGGAGTTTGCATGTTCTTCCCATGTCAGCGTGGGTTTCCTCTGGGTACTCTGGCTTCCTCCCACAGTCCAAAGTCATTAAATTCAATTCAATTCAAATCACTTTATTCATCCCCAGGGAGCAATTAAAAGGGCAGGGGGTGACATGCAGGTTAATTGATGACTCTAAATTGTCCGTAGGTGTAAATGGGAGCGTGAATGGTTTTCTGTCTCTATGTGTCAGCCATGTGATAGTCTAGTGACCTGTCCAGAGTGTACCCTGCCTCTTGCCCAATGTCAGCTGGGATATGCTCCAGCCAGTGGTTACAGAAAATGAATCAATAAAGTACTGTATGAGACAGACGAGGTCACAGTGTCCCTGACCTTTGACCACCAAAATCTAATGAGATGTATAAGTAGATATATGATTGTTCTTGACACTGTTGTCTCTGCATATACAGTGTAGAGAGCTCTACAATTCTAAATGAATGACAATAAGGATATTGATCAAGTTTCTCCTTCTGGGTCATGTTTTCCACCCTCCCCTGCAGGGTTCGGATTCCACGGGCCCAATGCTGAGCCTCCTCCTGGCTCTGGCAGAGGAGATCCAGGCTCTTGCGGGGCCCTTTGAAGACCACCGTCAAACACCGCTCCTCAGGTACCGAGCCAGCCATCTGCCGTAACATCTCCGACTGGCAACCCTCACGAACACACTCCACTTCCATGACAGAGACTGAGGATGTGTGAGGGGAACAGAGAGGAAAAGGTGGAAGAGGAGAAAGAGAGAAGTAAGTAAAGTGTAAGTATTGCCAAATTAATAATCCATCCTGATAGTCATTCCAAGAGGAACTTGTAAGTGCTTTGTTGTTTTATTGATTTCTTTCTCAGTTTTCTGAGGTATTGTTTCATATTGGTGAGCTTGGACAGGAAATACTGGACATATAAAGGAGACCACAACAAGAAAAATGGTAATTAAGAAGCACTTCTTGTAAGAGCAACCTTTGCAAATGACAAACTATCAAGTATAGAGAGGAGACAAATGTGCCACAGATCTGGAGGGCTGAAAGAGCTAAATTAGATAATGGAGCATCTGTGGTCAAACTGTGTAGAAATAAGGTTTATGGTGCTTTCCTATATGAGGTCATTGCTGCTTTAGAGAGGTGAGGTCAGAAAACAGGTTCTCACCCGAGTTCCCTAAAAAAATAAGCTTTGAGGAAAACAGTTTCAGTGCTCCTTGTCATAGATTCTCTAAGTCTCTTAACTCTACCGTGGGCATGAACATCATTCAACCAAAAAGATATTTCCTAATTTGTGGAAGTGGAGAGTACTGACACTCCAAGCCCACATATTCAGTACAAAATAAAACAGGCTGGAGTGAGAGCCTCTCTCAGTGGGATATTTAAAAAAAAGGGGGATGTGCATTTAGTCCTTTTCAGGCAGACGCAGGGATTTGGTGTTGCCATAGCCCACAGGAACACTGATCCATGACACTTTTTTTGAGGATTAGAATCTATGCAGTTCACATAATCTGGCCAAAATTAATATATATCTCAAGACACTTGAAGATCCACTCATTACTAAAGGTGTATGTAGTCTAAGAGAGACAATATAAACTAATGGAATGGTCAAAGTTGTCATATTGAATTTTAAGATGTGCTGATGGATTCACATCGTCAACTCATGCATGAGTTACATTACAAGTTAATGTTCCACCCTAGAAGTTACCAGCAGTAGGTCCAGTGTATTAAATTATTTTTTTACAGCTCCGCCAGAGGCAGCGAAACATCATTTCATTTTATAGTTATAGTTTACTAATATATGTAAGACTTGCCACAGTATGAACAGTGGTTACACACCCTTCAAAACCAGCCACAACTCAGCCCTGAGCAAGAGCGACTGTCTGCTATTGACTAATCAAGGGACTGTAGTGTTTCCAGCTCCAGCTTTTACTACCAGATCTGTGTGCTAGGTACCCCAACAGAGGGGTGACCAAAAATAGGGTCTGTTAGGAATAGTTCCATTGGTACCATCCACAACTTTTCACAGTAGAAACAGAAAAAATACGTACTGAACTGAACTGAACTGAACTGTACTGTTTGGTGGAAACAGGGTTTTTATCTACAGTCTATGGTCACATCCAGCACTACCCACATTCAGCACAAATATCACCTTGGCAGGTGATGGTCACTCGCCTGCTTTTGCTCCAGTGTGTCCGTGCCCTCAGGCAGCTACATTTAACAAAGTCAGCAAACAGCCTCATCTTTGTTAGTCATTTTGTCATCCACAGCATAAAACCCAAAATACTGCCACACACTGCTTCTCAAGAAGCTTCGGTGTTGTTTTTATCTGATTAGTACAGCTTGGCTCACTCATGCACTTCTCCATTTTTATTAATTATCCTAGGTTAATGACTGGTCAAAAGGTCAAGCTTAAAGTGATTTTTAAGAGCTCTCCCTGCTGGACCACAAGGCAAACTACTTGAAACGGTCAGCTGCATACAGATTTTGAAATTTGACTTCAACTAAAACATATATGTATATGTATTATTTTTTCCATGTTTGAACAAAAGTTCAAATTTTGAATAAAAAGTGACAGCCCAAGCTGAGGGAAAAGGAAGAGGAGGGGATCGAGTCTGGGGGTCGAGGGCTGGGTTGTGATAAAAAGGAGCTAATTTCATAAGATGTGCAGTCCAACCACATTACAAGGCAATAGCAAAAGCTGTTTTGAACAGCCATACTATCATGAGAGGCTGGCGGTCATAGGGTGTTGAGACATAATATTGTTTAAATCTGGGGATAATTGTTCACATTTTCAGGCAGCTTTTCCTGAAAAGCATTCATACAGGGTTGTAACTGGTCAAAGCGACAGGAATGGTTGTGTCAAGAATGAAAAAAGAGAACTATAGAGAGAAGCTCAAGCCCAGCTTACATCTTATTTTCATACTATTTTTAAATTTTATACATTCAAACCCACGTCATGCCAACTGTGTGGAGAAGAAAAGCATGCAGTGTGTACAACCCTGTACAACATGAAAATTTAAAATTATGAAACATTATGAAAGATGTAGATCAGACATGTTTTTGGATATGAGTAAATATTGCAACGCTGACCTTTCAAAGAAGGTCCAACAACTCCACCACTGGTGGAAAACTGTAAAAAAAAAAATCCTATTTCGATGCAAAGATGCAAAATGACAATGGCAAATCAGGCTTAACTCTTTCCCTCTCTGAAATGAACTGAGCATCACTTCCTTCCAACACAACTGCCACGGTTTAGCTTACAACCAATACACAAGTGCCAGGATTGTCTTTTACCTAAATTTAACATGTTGGCAGTATTCTGTTGATGCTTCTCTGGAAACTAAGATGTGAGGGATATGTGATAGGAATGAAAGGGATCAGGAGCACAGTGGGAGCATTGACTTCCATTGACTGCTTTGTCCCATTTTATGTGCATAATCATGAAACACAATCTACAATACTTCTGGTGTTTGATCTTTGTTCTTTGTACTCTTATAGAGCTCCTTTACTACAGTGCATCTTCACTGAATAAATGCATTATGCAATCAGCTGCAGCTTTTGATCTTTCTATTTGTGACATCCACTTTACAGGCTTAGACTCACATTTTGTAACACAAATTCATAGGGCACTTAGTTTCCATCTCTCATCCTCTGCATTATCAGTTAACAGTACTTTAGTAGTTTTAGTAAAAGCATCATTATCAGGGCTGCTCGGCCCGGTAAATAAAACATGTTAATTTAAGAAATGCCCAGGTGGAACTGTTGATAGCACCGCTCTCTGCGATTTTTTGCATTAAGATTTTTGTACTATCGCAGTACTTTAAGAATGAAATATTACATATGGATTTTGCTTTGTGGCACATATACAGACTACATTCAAGCACCACGGGCAGCTCAGGTCTCACTTTCTTTTTCATGCTTTTATTCTATACCTAGGCCTCTGTGTGTGTGTGTGTGTGTGTGTGTGTGTGTGTTTAAGGTAATCATTTTGGTCATTCACTTTGTATTGACACACATCTGTGCAGCATGCAAGGAGAAGACAAAAATAAATTGTATTTATTCATTTATGAACTTTTGTTTGACTAGTCTTGCCCATTAACTACAGACTTTCCAGTTTTTCTGTGTATATATGCACTGCTTATATTTGTCACGCTACTTTCTACAATAAACTATATTTGTTGTGTTAAAGTTGGATTTCAGTTTGGATTTCATGCAGTATCCACACACACTTCTTCTGCTGCATGTCAACAGGAAATCATGGTTGCAGGGTACAAGACTCCAAAACATGTTGGGTTGTAATCTGGGTAGCCCTGAATGCTGAAATACCAGCTTGTACTTTATTTCTGCGTGACACTAAATGTGTATGGACACAGTGCCAGCGCTGGCTTGGCAACTAATAACACTCACGACAGTGCTGCACTGTTGATTCTAATTCCTACTAAATTTAGACACAACTTCAGTGGAGAGGTGAGCTGTGTGTCACACACAGGTTTCCACAAGTGTTTCCCTCACTAACAGAGCTGTTTGTGTGTTATGTTCAACCTTGTTTGTTCATCCAGCACACTCTGACGCTAATTTCCATATGACTGCATCATTATGTGTACTTTAATAATAACATCACACTGTCTAATGGATTTGAATCAACCAAATTAAACATCACTATTGACCAAATGTCAGCTGGTGTTTGTCGATCTCTATTTGGCTGTGGTTTCAATAGAAACTACACACACAGACTAACAGCAAAGCTCTGTGCAGTATGTGTATCTGACAATACATAGACAGCTGTATTTATGACGTGTATAAAAGTGTCTAAAAGTCCCTCTCACTTCTGAAACCAAACCTACACTCTTGACAAGAGAGCCTGTTAGATTATTAAAGGGATTAGAAACACAAATTTTTGCCCTCAGCTGATGTCCATGTGGAGGCCATAACCTGGGATTCGGTGTATTACACTTATTTATTTTTAAAGGCTGGCAGCTGCTGCACTAGACCACCCTGTTAGAGCAAACACATTTGATGTAAAATGAGGGGGATAAATTACTCAGTGCACCTAACGGGCTTCCACTTTCTCATATCCACGTGCCAGGTCCAATTAAATCCGTAGCAGTTTTCAGAAGCAGGGATGGATCAGAGATGAGTACAGACAATTCAGCTGACATGAAGACATAAACAAGCACAGGAATTTTACTTCAGCTTGTGAGTTTCGGATTAAAAGAAGAAATTATTGTCTTATTTGGAATTCAGAGGTTAACTGATAAATAGGAGACACACATCTACAATGATCCAGGCTGTTATAAAAGCATGAGATGCAAGACACACACACATACACACACTCAAACCTGCACACCAAACACACACTGTGCCACATCATAAGCAAATCTAGTCTTGTGGCAATTAGAGGCCTTGTACTGTAGTTGGGAAGCTAACCTAGTGGTTGAGTCGTATGGTAACTATATAGCACCAAACCACAGGATCCAGGGCCGACTCCCATCAGCATATAATGTCCTATAATCTCACTGTTTGAACTACGGCAAGATGGGCTGCCATCTTAGGCTGAAAATAGTTGAGCTCTATAATCAAGGCACCGTGTGCGATCCTCAGATAGGGGAAAAGAGGGATGGTAGCTGTGTGAGCGAGTCTATGTCTGCACTGAGCAGTAAGTAGCATTTAAAGTTAACAAAAATAGATGGTGTATATCCATGTTCACTTTACACGCCCAGTGAGAGCACTGAGCTTTTCTGGCAAAGGAAAAGCCTGCTTGTTACCAATTATCATTCGGAGAAGTTCTTAACCTCTGGGTGGGGTCGGGTAGGTTCACTGAAATAGTCCTGTGTATGCGAGTCAGTAGGGCAGGGCATGAACATGGCCAGGGATTACTGCTATATATGCTAAACTCTGCATTCATGACCTTAATTCTGGTGTAACAATAACATGTGTTTCTGTCATGACTCAACTTTTGCATTGGGTTTACATGCTAAGAAGCTTGTAGCTTGAAGCAGCTTTCATTAAATCATTTTAATACTCTTCTGTTCATTTTGATTAACATATCACCCATTTTTCATAACCTTTAATCTTTAAATCTAATTTAAAACTAGAATTGCTGCCTCACAGTCTGCCAACCAGTCAAGCGGCTCTTTAAGTTTAAATCCATGTCTGTGAAAACATGGATGCATAGTATACTCATAACATTATGATGTCACAGTGAAGTTGACCTTTGACCTTTTGGATATAAAATATCATTATATATTCTATTAGACATTTGTGCAAAATTTTGTCATAAATAGCGAATAAGTTCTTGAGTTATGGCCAAAAACATGTTTTGTGAGGTCACAGTGACCTTGACCGTTGACCTTCAACAACCAAATTCTGTTCTGTTCATTCTTGAGTCCAAGTTAAAGGCTTCTTGAGATATTGTGCTCATAAGAATGAGACGGACGTATGGTCACACTGACCTTAACCTTTGACCTTCAAAATCTAATCAGTTCGTTGTTATGTTCAAACTGATGTTTGGTTAAATCTGAAGAAATTCCCTCGGGGTGTTCTTGATATAACACATTTGCAAGAATGAAATGGATGCAAGGTCACAGTGACCTTTGACCTTTGACCACCATATTCTTATCATTCATCCTTTATTCAAAGTCGATGTTTGTGCCTAATTTTAAAGAATTCCCTCAAGAATGAAATGGATGCAAAGCTTACTGTTAATTTTTGCCCAACTTGAAAAAAAAAATCCCTTAAGGTGTTCTCGGAACATTCTGTTCATAAGAATCAGATTGATATGGTCACAGTGACCTTGTCCTTTGTCCCACAGAATATAATCAGTTCATTGTTCTGTTGTAAAAAGTTGTTGTTTTGTGATGTCAGAAGTGATTGTGATAAGAACACACTTCTGGAGACAATAAGCTGAAACTGTGACATAATGGCAGGATTCTGACCAAACCACACATATACTCAGTCAAATTTACTGTACCTATATCATCACAACTGTGAACAGCAGAGCACCTAATGTGTTGTCAGTGGAAGTACCACGTCTACAAATTTTACTGAAGTCTCCCATGGTGACTCATGTGAAGTAATGATAGTTAACCAATACTGTAACCATAGGCTTGTTGTCACAAGAGCAGTGTAAGCATCACTTTCACAGGCAATTTGTTTAGAAATTTCAAAATGTGTTATGGTTTGCTTAGTTATACTAGAATGAGTAATAAGAACTAATTTTAAGTACAAGTAGTGATAAATACATGTTTTAGTTTAACAATGTGAAGCACACATGACAGACAGCGTGTGGTAGAGAGGGGGTGGTTGGCTCACAGCTATTATCTGCCCCTTTGAAGGTCACAGAGACAAAAATGTAAGGTCAAAATGTTTGCATTCTTGACCTGCACTACTATGTTTAAACATCTGAAAGCCACTAACGTGCTTGGTGAGGGTAACATTTCAGTTTTATAGTCTGAAAAGTAAAGAAATGACTAAGTGAATTATAGATTGAGATATTGGAAATGTGTTAATTCTAGTTGATAGACAAAGGAGTCAGCTACATTTTGACTTTAAATTCTGTGATGAGTGATTGTAGCTGACTAACATAATTTTGTTACAAAGTTGGGTTAAATTTGGTGAGTTGTTTAGAACACTAATCTTGGGGTTGACTTGCAACTTTCACAGTAACAGCTGTAACTATGATTGTATTTAGAGAGATTAAAACTATTTTGAAAGATTAAAAACAATGTTTATATTGTTACTTAATTATTATTTTGAATAGTCAATGGTTAAAGTATTTGTACTTATAAATTACTTTAAAATGTTTGGCTTTAAAAATGGGCAGATATTAAATTAAATGTTCATGTTTTCTGGTTCTTGATTTCATGAAATGTTTAAATAGTTTTTATTGATTGCTTCATTTTTGTGAGTATAGCATTTTAACATTGTTCCAACTAGGGCTGCCCATTAACGGTCGACCAAATGTTAGTCAGAAGAGAAAGGTCATTTCATTGGTTGCTTAGTCGCCGAAAAAACAACAACACACAAATGGAAAAATTTCTTCGGAGGTGCACCTTGTCAAAATAAATCAAAACCTATATGACTGGACCATGTGGAAATTTAATTTGAAAGGACAGACACAGGAAGTGGCCACGCTCAGCAGTCAGACAGGAGTCACATTTACAGGGCTGGTACCTGCGGTTATTCCACAGGCTAGTTAATAACACGTCAGGCAGAAAATCCAAAGTGTGGGATCATTTGAGAAGGTGAATGACAAACCCAAGGTGATATGTAAACTCTGCAGGCAAACTTTTACCTATCATTCATCAACTACAATCATGATGTATCATCTGAAACACGGGTTGGGAACCGGAGGGTCGCCTGTTCAAGTCCCCGTCCGGACCAAAAATATGGAGCGTGGACTGGTAGCTGGAGAGGTGCCAGTTCACCTCCTGGGCACTGCCGAGGTGCCCCTGAGCAAGGCACCGAACCCCCCAACCGCTCAGAGCGCCTGTCATGGGCAGCCCACTCTGACATCTCTCCACTTAGTGCATGTATAGGTCCAGTTTGTGCATGTGTGTGTTCGGACCTGTGTGTAATTGACAACAGAGTGAAAAAATTGAATTTCCCCTCTGGGATTAATAAAGTATATAAAATTAAAAAAATTAAATTAAATTAAAAAATTTGTAAAAACCTGTCACATTTTTATGTGAAATTAAAATATGTGTTTACAGAGTAAGTTATGTGCAGTTGCAGGTCTTTTTTGGATATGACTTTACACAACACAAATATAAAAAGACATCTTTGTGGATAGTGAAATATTTGTGGATCATGGTACACATTTGTAGATTGTCCTCTGTGGGTTACAACCAATAAAGTCCAATAAAAAGGAGCAGTGGGCTATAGAGGTCTGATAATCTCACTTCTTTCTTACTCCACACACCAGATTTGTTTTAATTTTTAACATCACTTAAGGACATTTATCAGTCTTCACACAGCTCGTCCTGGAGCTCAGGATCTGCACAATACTTATGCTGCTCCTGAGTGCAAGACTAATTTCCTTATGGGGAGTAAATCGTAGTATATTGTATCTTATCACATCGTATCGTATCATAGCATAGTATATCATATCATATCGCATCGCATCGTATCGTATTGAGTCACTAAAGATTTTGCTTTAAGTTCCCCTTTAATGCCAAAACCAAATCCTAATCCCCAAATGACACCTCATAAATATACCAGGTCTATAAGAATCTTTTATCTAATAAATTGTCCTCTGTCAAATGTTCTCTCTCTCTCTCTCTCTCACACACACACACACACACACACACACACACTTACAGGACTGTTGCTCTTTGGCCCGGCTGGAGGTTTTGTGGGACTGACACCAGACAGTGACACCATCTTCCAGCAGCTTTAGAGTTCGTCGCTTCTGCCAGCGAGGCGAGCGGACCTTTACATAAGATAAATGAATCCATTAAATCTCATTGACTTTACTACTTTTATCAGCTACCACTAACAACTTGTAGCAGTTTATAATTAGTAACACCTTTACCTTTACCATACTGGAGCCCTGCAACATCCGCTTCACGTCTTCATCATCCTGCACTCCTGGAAAGCAAACAGACAAAAATAAGATTGAAAGACAGATATGATATCATGAAAACTTTACTTAACTATGTACAGGATGGCAGTATACACACAGAGTCCTAATAACTCAGGGGCACTGAAGGAAGGTGGGGAGTAAGAAAAGGGAGGATGAAAAGAGAAAATAGAAGAGTAGGGCATAGTCACAATTAGAAGTTAGTGTATATATATAGTATCTACATCTGTTGGACCACAGGAGTTCATTCGGGAGCTCTGTAATTCTGACATGTTGGTGCTGAACCAGCAGTTGGGTGGGGCTAGAAATAAGAAGGTATGGACAAAGATATGAAGTAAGACAGAAGGACTTGATGTTGTGTAGGAAAAAGCAGAGAGAAGATGAGGAGTGTGAGTTATATGAGAGTTGCATGGTGATGAATTGGGACAGTTGAGATGAAATTCCAATTAGCAAAGTGTTTTTGGCCTGTTATGAAAGCCATATCCTGTGACACCTTTTTGTAGGGGTGCCTATATTTCAGCCAGAAGAGATTTTGTAATACACACATTTGCACTGAAGCTTTTTTGCAGCTAAATCTAAGTTGTTCTCCTACTTATGAGATATTATCTCCTGCGTAGGGAATGTTATCTCCTACAGTGCGAAAGAATGTGCAGAATCAAGCGCTTACTGCACGATACAAAGGGCACTTAAGTATTGAAAATGCAGCATAAAAAAGCTTTTACTTTCTCAGTCAACTCACTACAAATAGCTATAGTAACATATATTAGATCTGTGCATGCAGAAGCACCGGCAGGATGCTGTTTCATACATACAAAAACCACTCACTCACAACATCTAGGTTACCATGTACACACACATGCAGTCTACAACATCATAATAAAACTCTTATTAGCTTCCTGCACACATTTCAAATACCAGCCAAAGGGTCGAGCTTACAGTTATCATTGCAGCTCTCATACAGTAGCTCAAATGTTGAGCTCATGCAGAGGGCCAAATTCACCTCACATAGCCAGGAGCAAGACAGACTGGTAGACCCCACACACACACACACACACACACACACACACACACACACACACACACACACAGATTGCAGTTAGGTCATTAAAATTAACATTCTGATTAACAGGTGATGGGTTGCAGGTGGGTGAAATAATACATCATTAATGATAATGATGACACCTCTAAACAGCTGCCTAGCACTCAGAAAACTAAAATAGATGATGTACACAAAGCAGGAGAAGGCTATACGAAAAAAGCTAAGTGTTTTCAGGTAGCTGTTTCCTTAGTTTGTAATGTAATCAAGAAATGGCAGTTAACAGGAACTGTGGTGGTCAAGTTCTACTGTGCAGTGACACCTGTACAAATATTACCCTCATGGAAGAATCATCAGAAGAAAATATTTCCTGTGTCCTCACTACAAAAATCAGTGTCAAAGGTTTGCAAAGGAACATCTTAACAAGTGCTTTTTTGGGAAACAAGTCCTGTGGATTGATACAGTTGAAAAAGAACTTTTTGGACACAGTGAGCAAAGGTATGTTTGGAAAAAAGGGTGCAGAATTTCATAAAAAGAACGCCTGTCCAAATGTTAAACACAAGGGTGGATCGATCATGCTTTGGGCTTGTGTTGCAGCCAGTGGCACGGGGAACATTTTACGGGTAGAGGGAAGAATGGATTCAGTTAAATTCCAGCAAATTCTGGAAGCAAACATCACAGCATCTGTAAAAAAGCTTAAGATGTAGAGAGGATTGCTTCTATAACAAGACAATGATCCTAAACACATGCCAAAATCCACAATGGACTACCTCAAGAGGTGCAAGCTGAAGGTTTTGCCATGGCTCTCACAGTCCCCAACCCAAACATCATCAAAAATCTGTGGATAGACCTCAAAAGAGCAGTGCATGCATGACAGCCCAAGAATCTCACAGAACTAGAAGCCTTTTGCAAAGAATGGGCAAAAATCCCTGAAGCAAGAATCGAAAGACTCTCAGCTTGATACAAAGGGCATTTCAAAGCTGTGATACTTGCCAAAGAGGGCGCTACTAAGTACTGACCATGCAGGGTGTCCAAATTTTTCCTTCAGGACCTTTTTCTTTTTTGCTGTTTTAAATCTGTAAAAGACTGAAATCCCAAGAGTAATCTTGCTTAAAATATTATTTTATTTAAAAAACTGTGTCATCTTTAACCTCTTACCTTTTGGAGATCAGAGATCATCTCCCTTTTCTTAGCTTTTCACAGTAAACCAAATTTTGGCCATGGGTGCCTAAACCTTTGCATGCAACTGTATTCTACAAACACAACTAACAACTTTCAATAAACATATTATTGATTGCTACGGTCATTTATTTCCACCTAAACAATATAGCCATGATTAAACCTTTCCTTAAGAACTTTTTTAGAAATGTCATGTAAAGGACCTCTCCTTAACATGACTGATGCTAAGACTTTGGTTCAACCCTTCATAACAACAAGACTGTTTTGCATTTTTTTGTTTTGTTTTAATATCAACCACTGATTGTCATCCACTTCAAATGTGATGATTAGCTAATGTGTTTTATGACAGATCTAGAAATATCAGTAGCCTTCTACACTGGTTTGTGGAAAATCATGAATATGAGCTATATATTTAAACAAGAACAAGTGAATATATTGTGGATTTCAGCTGAATGTTGGTGTTTAAATGCTGTTTGTGAGGCCCGTGTGGAAAATTTGAAAACATACGATCTTGCAGTTTCTTTAAATGTAGAAATCTAAATTTTGGGACATAGATGTTTAAATTCAGCAGCTCCATTTAGCAGTATTGGCACTGCTATATGCCTTCAAAACCTCCAAATGGCCAAACCCTGCTTTTATTAGGCAGACAAGCATGTGTTACATTTCTAAACAACTTCTTCCTATACAGCAAGAGACAATCAAGGAAGGGGGAATATTTACAGATCTTGGTTGTGGGACAAATATTTACATGAGAGAATAGTGGACAGAGAAAAGAGAAAAGCTCATCTGACAGAAAATCTGAGTTGACATTTCTCTTGAAGACTTTTATAGCTCAACAACCTCACGCTGTAATTGCAGATCTATGAAATTACAAGCTTCAGTGTCCTTTGTCTGTTTGAATGAATCCAGCTGCAGTTAAATTGTCCTCTGCATACTCCCAGTCTGACTGGACAACATCTGTTAACCCACATTTAGATGATGACTGCTGATGTTTTATTTCTTCAGAAGCAGTGCATGAGTCAGAGCTGGAATTATCAGCGCAGTGGCTGTCTTGGATTGGATTAGCAAAGGGGAGCTCAGTAGGAGTGAAGGCATAGTACATTACGCAAAAGCTCTTACGATAAATGACCCATTAATCAGTATGAATCTGATATGAATAACAAATATATTTTAAGTACATTCGACAGCTAGTCAGTCAGTAAAAGACATCATCAAATGCAAGTGTGTGAAAGGCTAGCTGTTTTCCCTTGCTGCAAGTTTCTTTTTTTTTTTTGCTAAGCTAGGAAAATCTCTCTCCTCTAGCTCTATACATAAAGAACTATTCAGTGCTCAAAAGATGGGTCTTTTCAGAAAACTGAGTTGTCAATGCAGTAGAAAGACACAAATACATTTGAAAATGGTGGACCAGAGAAAACAGATGTAAAGGGCCGTGGCTTTTGTAGCTTTTCCTCAAGAGGAAAGGTTCCTTTTTTACTACCAGAATATACTGCGTTGCCTCAAAACCAATAAAAGTTCCCGCTGGTGGGTGACATAATGCAGCTTGGCTGGTTTGACACAGGAAACAATATGGCAGCGAGCTGGTCACAAACAATCTCGTATTGAAGTCAAAGCTGAAATATGTTTCTCAAAACATTTGAGGCAAGAAATATGCAGTGCAGTCACAAAATCTTGATTCATATTAGTTTTATTGACTGATCTCAGTATATTCAGCTTTTCTTTTTTTTTTTTTTTTACAGAAAACACAGATTCTTGTATGTCAGCCAAACAGTGCAATAAAATTAACTTCTGAGGACATTTTAGGCAAGAAATAGGCAACACAGAAAAAATATATTTTTTATATTTGATCAGCACTACCTAGTTTTATCATTTGAGCTTTGTTTTTTCAGCTTCCATTTTTACTATATAGGAAACAGTATGGGGCCTACGTCTTGGTCACAAATTCTTGTTTTACAGTGCAACAGTGCACTAAAATATGTTACTGAAAACATTTCAGGAGAGAAGCAGGCAATACAGTAACAGAATCTTGGTTTGTGTTTGATCAGCACTGCATAGTTTTACACTTTGATCTGAGTTTTGGTCTTGAGTTTGAGAGAGACAACAGCACAAGGCCACAGGACAACCCTCATGAAATCCAGTCAAACCAAATTATAGCTGAAGGAAAAAGAAAACTACATCAACCATTGGACATCTACCACAAAAACCCAAACCAAACTTCAATGCTGTTTGGCTCTAAACAGACAGTACATGATGGTAAACTATCTGACTGCTGTGACAGATCAGAATCTGAAAGATAGAAAGATACTGACTATGTACAGGAGACAGATGCTTAAAAAAATCCCTGAGCTGTTATGGGATGGTTTCTTTTGTGTGCTGCAGCCCCACTTAAAGCTGGGCAATCTAATCAGTGCCCATTCAGTAATTGTAGTGACCAACAGAAAGTGTGGAATGTAACTTATCTCAAGTTCCCTATGACAGCAAGCTAAAAATGGGCTGTGAGGGGACCCCATAGATTTGTTTATCATACAGAATGTGTGTACATGAGGGGAATAGTAAGTCATAATCTGTTGTTGTATGTTCTAGTGAAAGTGAAACTACTTCAAAAAGGAGCGTATAAAATGCGGTGACGTTGCCTTTAAACTCTCCTTCACAGATAGTGCTGAGTCCTATGCTGAGTAAGCAGGACTCAGCAACTGAAAACAGAAGTCTCACTGTGGTTTGGAAAGGGTTGGGTCACTCACAAAGGCGTCTTGATACTGGGAAAACACACACAAGCATGCAGACACACACATTCCC